TGCAGATGAGCAGATTTATGAGCAGAGCCGCCGAGACTCTGGAGGTTCTGTCTTTTTTGAAGCAGAGAATCGTCAATTATTTGGGAACAGATGGCTTCAAAGTGCAAATTTTGATTTTTGCCTCAGCAGACTAGATAAAAAAGCTCGGATTTAAAGAGTTATGAGGGGCCGTTTTGAGTTTAAAACAAACTGGGGTAACATTTTGCGTTGTAGACATTAAGACGATGTTATTTCAATCTTGTTTCCCTTTAAGGAGTCAGCTTCTTACTGAATTTGCTTCCAGACACGTTCTTAAGGACGTCATCCACTTGTCATTGTTGGTTGATCACAACTTTTTTCACTAAATACAAGTTTATTTTTTATTCTATTATTGACACGCTTGTTCAAATAATAACAGGCTTTACAAGTCAGCCCAGCTGAAATGATCTGACAGCTTCGGAGAGAAGAATTGTCTGAGGTGCCAGCTTTGAGCAGACTATTACAGAGGCTATAAGATGTTTTGGCAAAGAACGCTCAGACCCTGACAACTTGTCAGGCGTGATTGCTCCACTAACAGCTTTCCTTTACTTGTGACTGACAGGTACATTTTTAGCTGCTCTTCCTCTCAGGTTCAAGACTTTAGTGATTGAGATTTCAGAGACCCGGTTTCATCTTTTTTGAGAATGGGGTTGTGTTAAAAGTTTCTGTTGTCTGCAGTTGCTTGATAATAAAAGCACAAGTACAAAGACCACATGTTTACTCTCGGAAAAATAGTTTGACCAATCGAAAGGACGTATATATACCGTAATTTTTACCCCTCTACTCTACTCTTTGATGTCAACTCATAAAGTGGACACCAAAAAAGAAACGACGAGTAGTATCATTGCTTAAATAGAAACGGTCTCCCATCTTGAAGCAGGCAAAAGGAGTCATTGACATTTATCAGTATACAACGGGTTACAAAGCAATTTCCGAGGCATTTTAATTGGCACAAGGAAACAAACAGGAAATATATATGTATAAAATTTACCAATGTTGGTACTTACCAAACCCTGGTTTTTATGTACTGTCATATCCCTAGTAAACACACAAGAGAAACATCAGCAGAGAGTGTTAGTTCTTATAATTTTGTCAATTTGTGGATGTCAGTAGATGGAGAACACATAAAAAGTAAAAACCACAGTAAAATGCATTTTCTTACCTGTGCAACTTTATGCTAACAAACAACACACCAGAGCCTAGGCATTCAGTTGTTCTTTCAATCAAAGCCAAAATTCAAATAGTTTCATAATCCTAGAGCAAATGTAAGAATAATAATCACTCAGTCATTTTTGTTGCCTTCAAATGCCAACATGTTATTCAACAAAACAATCCATTCTTTGTGTAAAACAACTGGCAATCCTGTTGTTTCATGATGCATAATGGTAATGGTGACCACATTTTTAGAGGCGTTGTCTCAATGGATCTTTGTTTTTTGCCAAGAATGTGTTTTATTGCTGTAAACTATAAAGCAGATTTTTTAAAAAAGCCCTTTTGACTTGCAGTACTATGAAAAGAAATGTTTTCAGTCCATGGGAATAGAATAACAAATCAGTTTTCTCATCTGGTAAGCAATTACCAGCAAAATGTAATATATCTATTATGTCAAGATCTATGATGACTGCGACACAGTTTCCCAAACTCAACCATCATCGCTCCAGACAGATGGTTTGTACCGACTGTGCAAGGCCTCCTGCTATGCCTGATAACAAGGTTCCTGGTCTATATAGGGCAACTGTGACTGTAAACACAGCAGCCTCAAGTGGTGTGAACAGGTGGCCTGCCTCATAGGGCCACTGGTCATGTTGTGTGTCTTACAATAAAAGTTCAGTTATGAGGAAATGCCCGAGTGCTTTAATAGCTTGAGACAGAATGGTTGGCTCAGATGTGCTGATAGAGAATATGTCGGTGCTGAGAGTCTTGTGGGAAATCAAATGTGGTGCCCTGAACTAAACTGGATTCATCAGAGGTACAGTCTTTGGTTACAAGCCATTAAAGATGCTGTTGGTTAGACTTTTCAGTTATATGTTCATTTCTTCTGTCCTGCTTCACAATGACATCACTTTTGGCCTACTTGTAGCTCTGAATGTGGCTTTAAATCACTTCCTCCGCGTATTTGTTTTTCGGATACAGTATCCTCTGGAGGGTAGCAGATGATATTTTCCAAGAGAAAGGAGAGAAATGGTTTGCTAAATGCCAAGATTCAGCCCTTTGTTGTCATTAGGTCGGCGATTATTGGCAGGCATGCTGCCACAGAGGCCCTGTTGAACCACCATCTCTCTCCCCCTTCCTTACGTCCCCCAGCCCTCTCCACATTGACCCATATAGGTGCTTTGAATCACTGGCAAGCCAAGTATATCTGGGCCCCCTTCCCAGGAAGACCTTAGAGAGGTGGGTGTGTGGTGGTCGTGCATGCATGATCTAAAAATGTAAAAATATAAGCATGCCGTCAGTCCCCGTACATGCATGTGTACAAAATTGGGCTGCTGGCTTGTGACGGTACTTTGGATGCAGATTAAAGTATCCTAGGCTTTGAGTCTCCAGGTGGTTCTCTTCTAGCAGACTCAGCGATGATTTAAGGTGAGGAGGGATAGAGGATTTTGTTATTTATACAGGGTTCCTACATAGTCTGGAAAAATATGGAAATGTCTGGGATTCATTTGAAATGTTTTCCAAGTTTGGAGAAATTAGGAAAAAATGTAGCGTATGTTTTAACCATCTCAATCTTGTATGTCCATCCATCCGTTCAGCCACCAATCAATCATGTATCTGTTTTTGTTTTTCATCCATCCTCCTGTTTTATCAATTCTTTGGTTTATGCACGCTCCATAGAGATGTTTGAAGTCTGGAACTATAACCTAAAAAATGTGTAGCAACCCTTTTTATATGAGGCAGTCCTTGGCATATTTAATTTTAATCTTATTTAAATTTAAATCATATTTAATATTTAATGTTAATGTTATCCAGGTCTAAACCTGAAGCGAAGGGCAAAACTTAAAACTGATGTCCTTTACTTTGTAGTAGCAAAGTCAGAGCCCTTTGTAGTGAAAAAACAAACAGAAAAACAACATGATAAAGTTAGAAGACCAAACAAAGTTTCCTCCAAGAACTGTGTTGACTGGCGTTCTTCCTGTATGCCCTCTCTTGGAGTCTGATATATAATCCCCAGATTAATTAGCTGTGTTTCAGTCACTTCGTGTAGCGCGACCCTCAGCCATCTTGCCTATCAACTTACAGGGCGCCAGAGTTTTCTTCTCTTTGAAGATCGCCTTGGCTTCAGAGTCAAAAAAGCCTTCTCTGATCTGACAACTAAAGGAAAGGGCCCCTGTAGTGCACCGTTGCAGACTGATAAAAGCTCTGAAAAACAACATTTGGGCAACACACACATCGATAGGGATGAAAGAAAAAAAAAATTAGGATTAATTTGGTTGTGAAAACAAGAGGCGGTATGGAACAATGACAATCTGGCTCCTTTGGTAATTTCCTGTCGGCATCTATTCCTATGATGTGGCGGTGACTGTTCTGCCGGGATCAATCAAACCTGTGAGCAGATGGCATCGTACTCCTCCAGCAGACCGAGGGTTGTAAGAGATTTTTTTTTATTCCGGAGATGGTAATTGGCCTGCCATTCCATGGGCCGGGAAGTGTGCTAACAACCACTGCCATCACTGCTGCGCTGCGGCAACACCTCATGTTCTGATCTGAATGACTCATAATGTGCTACAGGCTCCATTTAGTTTTAACGCCAACTTGTGTTTAACATGGCTTCTACTAACAGGCAATAATGACAGTGCTGGAAAAGCAGCTACAAAATAGTCTTCTACGGGGCTTTGTGAAAGTACTCGTACAATGTTTTTCTATGTTGTCAAATTACGGTGGAGGCAAAATTATGGTTTTCATGTTTCGTTTTTGACATGCCATGGCAAAAAGAGCAAATAATCAGAGAGGCAGCCAAGAGGCCAAGGATTACTGGAGGAGTTCCAGAGATCATTGCTATTTGTCTCATTAATAAGTATTTTACCTAGAGAACAGTGGCCTAAAGTAAGTAGCATATTATTAATTGGCTTATTACAAAAGTAAGATTATCCTGACGAAAATGGTTCTTTATCATGCAAACCCCAAAAAGTGACGATACGGTTTTGATCGCTGCTTTTATTGCGCACTGTTCTGAGGCGTCATTTTTCTTCCACTTTACAATTACCGCACTACCAATATTTCAAGAAATACGCACAGACGTTTAACAATGCAATGCGAGAAAATGTGAGTGTATAAATTCTTTTTAGAAGTAACTTGGAGCTTTCCATTTAGTACATTCAAAATGTTGGATTTCCGTTGAGCACAAATATCTGGTCCCGTGCACATTTAGTAAGGCAGTCACAGTGGACCAACAGCAAACAAAAACACATAGCCTGTGCTTCATTTGCAAATAGGGCTTGCATTTAGGTGAGGAAAGCTTATGTAGATAAATGGAACCGTGTGTGGGAGACCCAGCAAGCTGTATAAAAGGGAAACAGTGTAATTGCTTGCGCACTGTAAGAGTGTGTGTCTCTGAGACGGCGGGCACTTCAAAGCTTTGATGTTGGAGCTCCTAAATGAGGGCCACCAGAGGTCCCGACTAATGGGACATCATGGGGAGATTAGAGGCCAAATGGAGCAGGCAGGCAGGCAACACGCTCCTATGTATGTGCATGTTGCCCAGAAAAGCAGCGAGTTCCTGTGTGTAACCCTTTTGTAATTAAAAGTGAAAGATTAGCTGAAAGTCTTGGCTGGTAATTAGAAAGGAAGAACATATTATACACAGTCTTGGTCAGTGCTTTCTGTAGTATGGTATAAATCCTTTATTAAATAATCATAACAATAATTATAATAACAATCATAAAAAGAGCATTTCTGTACAAAGACCCCTTTAAAATAACAACAACAGCAGTCCTAGTAGTGCGAAAAAAATGGGGTGGGGGAATCCTGTCCTCTCAAGTTTTTTTTTTTTTTCTCTTAGCCCTCCCAGTCAGAAGAGGGCGCTGTGACTGTCACTGTCAGTTTCAAATGAGTATATTTTATACCGGCTCCAAAGGCAAGCTGGATCCCCGAGGCTCCAAGGCACTTTGAAGAGAGTCAGTGGGGTCCGTCAATGTGGGCCTCCGAGGACGAAAGATGGCGAGAGTGAGGGTGAATGAGATGGGTGCGCTTCTACAGTGAATCCATTGAATTTCATTTCTAAGCTGGAGTGGGTGTTTAAAAACAGGCATGTGTGTGTCCAAACATTACGGGTTGATTGTGTACTCAATGTTCTGTATATACAACAGTACATTCAGTTGAAACCAGATATTTACACACGTTGTAAAAATGTGCACAACCTTTCTGACTAACTTTGGTTATTAAATCCAAAAGTGAAGGAACTGGTGCACTTCACAAAATAGATTGTAGTATGATTAAAGAAAATTACTTGGACATTTTTATAGATTGGCCTTGAAGCTAAGCATAGCATCAAGTTAGTTACAAAGTGGCTTAAGGACAACAAACTAAATGTTTTGGAGTGTCGTAGTCCCATAGAAAATTGTGGGCAGAGCTGAAAAGCTGTTTGGAATCAAGACGTCCTACATACCTGACAGTTTCACCAGTTCTGTCTTGAGCTATAGGCCAAAATATCAGCAAACTATTGTGGAAACCTTGTGGAAGGAACTGTGTGAACCAATTCACACAGTTTAAAAATTATTTTCTTTCTCATTATTCTGGCATTTAGCCACTGGAAATAATTTTTGGTAACTGTCTTATGACAGTGACTGTTTAGTCGGATTTATCGTCGAGCGATGGAGAAAAAGGTTATGCAGTGTACATAAATATCTGCATTCAGCTGCACAAGTGAGGTGTCTGTGTATTAATGTGCTCAGGAATGAATGCTGAGATCGTTCTTGTTCGTCCTCTTTCTTACTCATGGCTTACAAGTCTCTGACTGGTTCAAAACCATGTCATAAAACAAATACATTAAAAAAAAAAAAAAACAATGACAAAAAAAGCTTGCCTTGGTATGCAGTGATAAAAAAAGGAGAAAAGATTCCCAAAGTAGGCCACCATTAGCCAATAAGTTGAGGTGGATGCTTGTGTGTGTTGGAGGAAAGATGGAATAGGTCCTTTAAATCATGGCTTTTGAGGTCCACGTGTAAAAATGTCTCGATGTTGCCTCGACAATCCTTTTTTCTTCCCCCCCAGCATTTCCACACACAACGCTTTGCTTTTAAGGCTTGTTGTGCATCTGGGCACACAGTCGCTCTGTTGATCGGATATGTCTCTGGTTTGTTTCTGATCCCATTTGTTCTTTTTGTTTTTTGAAAGCACAGAGCGAGCAATAGCTCCTGGGAGGGAGAAGCACGGGGGAATTCGAGTGCTCTGTCAGTCACAGTCTTGTTCGTTCTTTCGTTTGATTCGCTTCCTTCAGGGTTCTTCGGTCTCTGCCCCAACCAGCAATCCATAGGTTGCACCGTCCAAATCTCCTTGACCTTTTCTGATTTGCCGCCAATGTAAACACGACCTTCTCTTTGACAGGAATCAGTAACTAAATCTAACAACAACACCTTTCCGTCAGTAAAAGAATGCTTCCCTCCCTACCTCTACATACACCCATACACACGCACACACACACATACATATATATCTATATATACTTTCTTCACCTCTTTTTCCCCAACTTATCTTTAACCACAGGACTGGCAACTGGCCCAAAAGAAAACAAAGTGATTGAGTAGAAACTCAACTAAAAATACCACAGAGGGAAAGAAACTAAAGGGCCAACTGAGGCTGATGCGTAGCAGGAACTAAAGAGTCAAGGGGCCTTACAAAGGAGCTAAGTTCTAGGCCACTGTGTTCACAGGTGATCAAAAAATACTCTTTTCTAATCTTATTCCTATCCTACCACCTTTCCAACACATTGTATCCAAATCTGTCCGTGTAGTTTACAGTATCCAGTTGCAAAACTAGACATATCTATGACGCATTTAGAAGCAGTTCTCTTTACGTGACCCAGGATTCAGCAATTGATATGTGTTGATATTTAGTGTTTGAGGCCTATCGTCCCTGCAATGGAAGCAGTCCATGGCGGTAACCCTGGTCGCTCAGTCGTTGATGAATTTGCAGAAACAACTGCCAATACTGGACGGTGCTGCGTTTTCCAAACAAGTTCTCACTGAGACCTGCACCACCGAGGAACACTAAAGTTGGCAAAGATGAAGAAAATAGAGAGAGACTTTCACAAAATGCCTGTATCTTTTCCTCATCGCTTCTCTCATGCTTCAGTGCAGCAGCGCTGCTGGTTGAGTTTGACTTTGTGCTTGAGGCCATCGTACAATTCGAAGTTGTAGTTCTCCAGAGTGGTGGAGGATCGTGACGAGAGTCCACTGTAGGAGCACGTGCAGTACAGGAGGAGGCCGGCGCACACTGCCCCGAGCAAGACGCCCAGGGAGCTCATGACGATGATTGTGACCAGGATGGGGTCCAGTGTGTATAACCACGAGTTGTCTTTTTCCGAGGTGTGCGTCACTGGAGGATCAGAAGATGGGGACGTGGGCACGTTCCACTCTGGGATATGCAAACCTAAGACAGGCAGAGGAGAGCAGATGAGAAAAATAAGGTATTTGCAAAAGTAAAATGCCAGCAGACAACTCATGCACTCGGCAGATGTTTTATTAGGTGCACCTGCTCAATTTCAAACCAGCCAGTCCCTTGGTAGGCATGGTGAAGACACCTTGCTGAAGTTTGAACTGTGCCACAGAATGGGACACAAAAGGGAGTTTGAGTGACTTTCAATATGACGGGGTCGTTGGTGCCCGAGAAGCTGGTCTGGGTTTTTATGACGCAGTTTACAGGTTTGAACAACAGAACGGGCAGAGTTGAGCAACGGTTGAGTGGCCAACAAAAAGCCCTTTTGATGTCAAAGAAGAATGGAGAGACTGATGTTACAAGACAGAAAGACAACACTAACTTAGATAAGCCACAGTTTGCCTCATTATTATTGCTGACTGTGTGAATCCCCTTTATGATCAGAGTGTACCCATCTGCTGAAGGCTGTTTCCAGCAGGATGATGCATCATGTCAGAAAGCTAAAGTCAAAACTCTAACTGAATTCTTGAACAGGACAATGAGTAATTAATTCAACATACTAACAGAAACTAGATATTAATCCATGCAGTGGAACGGGAGACTCTCATCCTCGAGGTGCAGCCAAAAAATCAGCAGGAACTGTGTGATGCTATATAAAAATTAAAGGTGTTCCTGAGGCACAAGGGAGTCCAAACTCGTATTAACAAAGTGTACCTAATAAAGTACACTTTGTTAGGTATACTAACAAAGTGTACCTGTATTTTGGTATGTGTATCATGTGCCTTACCACTGCCAAGAGGGTCTCTGCCCATGGAAAGTCTCCCATCTCCAATGTGTCTGGTACCTGTCAAAGAAAAGCACGGGATCTTTAGCAGCAAATCAATTTACACTAACTTTTCACACTCATGCAAAAGAAATCCGATAAAACTCGATGCCAATGAATAAAAACTGATCTTGTGTTTAAATGTTACATATGTGTCAGATAGTTTTATTCTTGTGCAATGACACAGTGAAATTTTTTGTTTTGCTGATTGGCACAAAAACTCTGAATATGATGAAACATGGCAGTAAGAGTAAAAAAAGACAGAACCCATCAAAAATATCTTCAAAACAGAAAACTAGGGCACCGAAGTTGACAAAGAAGTTACAAAACGTCACACATCACCCAAAGCCAGCTGTTTTTCTACTTGGAGCAGCACTCCAGACCTATTGTACTGTATAATTACCCTCCAAATATTCCCGGTCATGTGTCAAACAAATAAACACTAGCAGGATACATCGGAACATGTACCTAAATAAATCTAAGGAGAGTGTGCATTGCCATACTAATATTAGCAATACATTAGTGCTTTGCTCAACTCTTGTGCACTTCCGGTTAGTTTGCCCCTTTACCGATTCATACACTCGTTTTATCCGCATGTGTTTATGCTCGAACCTAGTCCACTGCAAGTTGAGTATATTGTTTAATTTTTCAAAATACTTCACACTACACCATATTTACTTTCATTGTGAAGTTGATCTCATATTTTCTGACTCCACTTCTTAACACAGTGAACCCTGGTATTTGCATAAAAGCTGAAATCTGCAAGACACACTGTAAAAACACATATAAACTGCTTGTTTTAATAGCTCAAATACCAAATATACCTTAATTTAAATCAATAGGCACAGTGGGAGCCATGTTGGCACTGCCACTGAAGCTAATCTCTACGGTCTTCTTCATTTCTGTTCTTGGAGACTGGCTGCTTTGCAAACACCAGTTTATAGAAAAAACTTCAAATAGGTGAATTAGCAAATACTGAACCACAAATAGGTGGGAGTTCACTGTTCCATAGAAAATTAAAATAATTAGTTCTCAAAGTAGGTTTCAAAGGTTCCTAAGGTTGGTGTGATTGATAATAAACCTCCCTTTTTGAACCTGAAACACTCTGAAATGACTTAATATGAAATGACAAAGAAGCAAAATGACCAGCCCCTGCTTTTAATGTAAAATATAGAGATCAACTGAACGGTTTCAGTCATGGCTTTTGTGTCTTCAGCTCCATTTCATTCCAATACCTATGCCAACAAGAATAAACAATCAAAAGTGGAAATTAGCTTGGTGTGCCATAATGTTTTTAACAAATCTGTACCCTTGTAAATATACCAAATAAATTCACCTACACATAATTTTTTTTTTTTTTGCCGGCATGAGAAGATAAAACAGACAAATGTATGCTTTTAAAATAGAAAAATATGACTTTATTTATAGAGAAAGTTCATTAAGATACATTCCTGTCAAACACACAGTCATCACATTTGATAAAGATTGTATAAGACTGCTCATTCTGTGCCAGGACAAGTCAAAACACAATATCAATGTTGAAATCATTGCTGTCAAGGTTAAGAGCGGTGCATTTGACGATTAAAGAAAGAAAGAAAGAAAAAATTGGCAACGTTCACAATCAACAAAGTAATGCTTATGCCTGCTGTACTCTTTGACATGGCAGGTGGCCTGAACTTAGACCTGATGCCAATGTCTGAATTGGAACATGAGTAAACTACTAATAGAAGCAGCACTTTGGTTGAGTTTTTAACTTTGTTTTTTTGTGTCTCTCTGTGTTTGCTGCTCTTGGCGAGTGTTCAGGAGTGGGAGTAGCTGCTTGGCAAGGGATACGACTAGATCTAGAGGTCTTTGATGGCCGATGGCATTATTAACACGGTTGCCAGGACAACGGAGGTTGGCAACGAACCGGGCGACGGAGGCGCAGCAGATGGGAGGAAAAAGTGCTTACCGCAGCCTTAATAAATGTTATCCATCCATTAACTAATTACTGCTATTAGAAGCTTGGTGGGTAATGGTGTCGGGATGGATTGAGTAAGGTGTCCAGTCCCTCTCTTCTCAAGTTGATTTAAAAGTACAAAGTGAGAGTGTGCCAAAAACAGTTTTCCTCCACAGCAGAGGAATAAAAAGTGCACCTTTGTAGTTTTGTCGACAGACTGAGGTGTATTCTGCTGAGGTGTGGGTGGGAGGTGATGGGTTTTTGCAGTTTTGACAGACCCAGAGTGGAGTACCCCATTAAGCTGCAGAGCAAACGCTTCAATTTCATTCAAACCATCTGAGCGTAGGTCAAAGCCCATCAGCTCTGGAGCAACTAATGGGGGCAGGGAGAAATTGGCGCCAGTCGGGCACATTTTTTTTTTTTTTTTTTTTGAAATATTGCTAATAAACAATATTTTTTTTATTATTGTTGTCTGAAGCCAGTGGCATCCAAAGCCAGAGTCCATAAATGTAAATGTATGGGAAGCCCTCTGCAGAACTTCATGACATGCTAAGGCCATTTGAATTAGCGGTTTCAGTTTGAAAGCATAAAGGACACCGGCCTGTTAACTACCAGGAGAAAGTGCATCTGCAGTCTTTGATAGCATCTTATGGCACAAAAGAAATCAAGCATAATAGCTGGGTCAAGGGTTCCTGCATGTTTTTCATGTCATAATTCAGGACTTTTCCCGTCTGAGTTTTAAGTTATTTTTAATCTTTAACTAAAAAAACAAAACAAAACAAAAAGAAAAAAAAACAAAAAAACTGAACAATAAATTTATGATGGACATTTCTATAGATGTCAAATTTAAACATGGGATGGATGGATGAATTGATAACATAACATGACTGAGCATGAAGTCTGGAAACGCGTATTTTGTGTAGAAACCCTGTAGATCTGTCCATTGGAAGTCATAATATCCTGAAGCTCTCTTTCAAGGCTGCGCTTATACACTGCAAAACACTACGCTTATGGCCTCCAGCTGGTCCTGTGGCATTGTGGGATTTGTAGGACCATAAATCAAGTAAGAAGTGGTGATGGCCGACAGCTGTGTCTATTTACAACCCCCCTTAAAACAACAAGCACATATTCGCACTGAAAAACACGACAAGGCTCGGCCTGGCGCAGGCTTTCATCTGGGCAGCTCGAAGATGAGGGGGGGGTGAGAGAGTGGGGAGGGGGGCAACAAGCGGAGTGGGTGGTAAGGAGCACGAGTGGGAGTGGAACAACGTGCTGTATTACACCAGAGAGTCAGGATGAAAACACTAAACACTGAGGACGGCTGCATCCATCACCGACTGATGCCTTTATCGGGAGAGGATGAGCCGCTCAATCAAACAAGCTGGTTATCTCCGTTTTGCGATGCAGGGATTTAAGTATGATGGATTTGCATTCTTTTTGGTTTTAAATGTGCACATGCTGTGTTTGAAAGATCAATGGAAACATATTTTCTTCTTTTCCATCCGGTGCTGCAACGCCCTCCACGTTGGCATGAGTTGCGTCGCAGGCTACCCTGCGTTGTTAATACAGAGCAGTGTTTTCTCCCGGCTTGCCAGATCATTTCCGCAGCCACAGCACAGTAAATGTGTCTCAGCCTAACAGTTTTCTCTCCTTTTTGTGTCTCTTGGGTCTTGTTTTAGTCTTGCCGTTTGGCAGCTCTGGCTGGCTCGACCTCTTCCCCCTCCCATCTACCCACAGCCACACATGTCTTTGTCTGAGTCCATGCTGGGGTCGTTCCAGGCGGACTGTCAGGGTTACGAGGGAGCCAGACGCTGCTAAATGGTCCGAATCAAGCTGTTCGGGAAAAATAACTTCGTCCCTCTCATCGGGGGCAGCGCGGCGTGATAATGTCAAGAGCAAACTCCTTTATGAAACAAAGGTGCAGAGTGTTTCTTTGCAAATTTTCACTTTAGTGTCACCATCACCATGGTAGCGTAGTAGCTGTAAACAGGAGTGGATCTGTCGGTCTTTGCAGCACTTCCACGGACATCACAAGTTGGCATCCAGACGGCTAACTGGTGCAATAAGCTAAGTGTTTCTGTTTTTAGCAGAGGGTGCGGTGTCGGTCCCGGCTGTCCAGCCTCACTGTCAGAACTGGCTCCACCCCTGGGGTGGCCATACTGGTGGACCAGTTAGAGTACTGGAAGCACTGTGAGGAGCTGTGATAGGCCACGGAGAGCTGGTTCTTCTTGGTGGCCAGGTGTTGTCGGCAGCAACAGAGGGCTCTGACCAAGATGGCTACCGCCAGGAAAAGCAGGGCGCCTCCGGCGGCCATAATGTAATACCAGTGGATGGGCAAGGGAGGCACAGGAACGCCTCCCCCTGGTGGAGAAATACAGAGTGATTGGCCAATGGGAAAAGAGAGGAGTGGCATTTTTTTTTGTTTATATTCTGCATTTAATTTGCTGCTTTATGTTCTTTTTTTTTTCCATCTCTTAGCTCACAAACAGCAGGCGTGCATCTCATTTGAGCATGCACAAGCATGCCAGTTGCAAAGAATAAAACAAATCCTCAATGCCATAAATTAAAAAAAAAGAAAGAAAGAAATTAAAACATGAAAGCATTTACTTCTGTCATGGAGCTGGGGTTGCAGTTTGAGGACAACTTTTCACACCAAGATCATCAAGAGATTTAGGTTGACACCAGTCCAATAGCTGATTCAGGCAGATGCAATGCAGGCAAGTCGCTTTGAAGCTGCAGTGATTTCACTTGGTGTGAACTGAAGCCGCAACTATTAGTTATACAAGCAATCACACACATTGAATTAAGGAGCTTCCTCTTCCTGTTTCACACTGGCACGGGATGCCACATAAAGCCTTTGGAGCCATGCAGGAATCAGTGGGACGACCAATTATTTAGCTGGCTCATGTTGGTTGATTTGTCCCAAGTTCGTAAATTATCCTGTTCTCTTGTCTCAGCTTCTTCACATTCATCAGCCATCCTGGCCGGTCCTCTCCTCCTCAAAGCCAAGGGCTGTCTCCTTAGAGACTGTCTCCACAGATCCTCTCTGCTTCTTCCCCTGGCGCCAACCTCTCCTTCCTTAAATTCTTGGTAAGAACAAACTAACCGTCTTCCAAGAAGCTTGTATGCTCCTTTAAAATACAGCTGAAATAAAACCCAGATGAGATTTGGGGAATATGAATAAATTAGCACCCACATGAACTGTGTGAAATCTCACACCGAACTAGGGGACGGGGGAAGCAGAGCTCAATACTTCCTGATTTTTGGACCGTGTCACATAATTACAGGGAGGGAAATGGTGCGTGATCCCGCTACTTCACACCGCACACACTCGTCAGACATAACGGAGTGGAGGGACCCGCGCTTGGTGCTGCTCAGTCACTCTATCTGATTGCTTTCCGCCGGGAAAACCGCCGCGTGCGTCGATGTCAACGCCAGCGCTCGTGTGCGTTCGTCGAGGGTTAGGGGATTTTGCGTGGGAGTGCGAAAGACAGGGAAGTGCACACGCATCACATTCTGCAATAAAACCCCCCAGACAAGCCTGCATCTTAGTGGAGGGCATTATGAGATGCTGAAACACTTGCATCAATCACAAAGAGACCCCTTTCCCCCCTCCCAACCCTGCCCCATCCCATCCCCACCTCCTTGGATGCTCTAAACATTTTTCATGAGGCATGGAGTTATTAAATCCCTTCAGGCTGTATCCTGCAGACTAGACCGGGGAGAACGAAGCTCTTTTCAAATACCTGACTGCATGAGGTTGGTTTGATTTAGCTTGCCTTGCACACAGAGTTTGAGACTAATTCTTTGTTGGTGACAAAACTAACCTACTGTGCAGCTTGCCTCGACTTTTAGATTGAAATTGTGTTTTTGCAAATGTGATTGTTTTCATTTTAGTAGGAGGTTTAGAGAGTTCTTCATGCTGGGCTGATGATAAAAATGAATGCGGTTTAGTCTGGTCAGCTCCGGCAGACTTAAACATCGTCAGTGAAGGAAAGCTTTTAGGCGACATTGCAGAAAGTACTCACACTTTTCCACATTTTGTCACATTTCAACCACAAATGTCAATGAATTTTATTGGGATTTGATGTGCCAGACCAATACAAAGCGGAATATAGTCATTAAAAATCTCATGTGTTTGCCTTGACCTTCTCTGTGTCAACACTTTGTATTAGTTGCAAGTGTTTTAGGGTGCGTCACTACCAGCCTTGGGCATCTAGAGACTTAAGTATTTTCCTTCTATTTCACATTTCTGCTCTATTTTGTGTTGCTCTGTTACCTAAAATCCAAATAAGATTCATTGAAGTTTTCTGGTTGTAGAGTGACAAAACTAGAAGGCACTGTAATCTTTCGTTTTGCAGTTTGGACAACCAAAGCGAACCACCCCCCCCCACCCTCCCCCGGGTTGATGCATACTGACGGGCAGGAAGCAAGACCACATTTAGGAAGTGACATCCTTATAAAAGCCAAACTCACCTGGGTTTTCTGGAGAAAACGCCGAGAAGGGTTCTATGAGGACAGGGAGACAAGATTCAGACAAGAACAGAAGAAGAGAATCTATTAATATGACGGAAAAATGTCACGGAAATGTCACAAGACTATCTAAATGAAATTTCCCTGATATCTAATGTGAATAATGGCATTTACTGAGTTTTTTGGGAGGAATGCAATTCCTCACATGACATGAGTTTGGTTGTGAGAAGGTGAGAGACAGTGTGTGTGTGTGTGGGCAACATGAATGTGCTTACTGGTGGACTCCCAGCAACACTGGGGAAGGTTGGGAGGTTCTGGGTGGCTGTAAACTAACGGAGCAGAACCTTCACTTTGATTGGGTGGAATGCAAACAGAAAAAAAGCGGCGCTGCGTGTGCATCTCAGAGAGTGTTTGATAGCGTGTGCGTATGTGTGTGTGTGTGTGTGTTGAAGGGAGGGCGGTTAAAAGAGAAGGAGCGAGGGGAAAACAACTCGGGAACGAGAGCCTTTTTTTTTTTTTTTTTTTTTTGGCGGGAACACAAACGCGCTGTGAAAAACTCAACTGTGTTGGTTGATAAGAAACATCCCAGCATGCCATGGGAGTGGCAGGAGGAAGTAGGCAAAAACAGGAGGGGGAGATGTGAAGGCAGGGCTGTCATCTTCGCCTTCCAAGCTGCAGAGCAACATAGACTCTCTCAGGACTCTCGCGACACATTTATAAACACAAAAAATGTCGGAAAGCGCAGGGAAAAACATCCCAAAAAAAGAAAAAAAAAACCCAGACGCATTTTCTTTTAATTACACACTAGTCCACCTGCGAAGCCAGCTCCAAAGAGATGATGGCTGGGGTTTGGCTTTGAACCTGCAGCTTGGTCTCTGATCTGTTTAAGACCCTCTCTGAAGCCCCCGCTTGGGCCAGATTAAGTAGGCTATGCTTGTGCTCGACTCACGCCCTGCACTCCCAGAGCTTGCTTGGGAAACAGCCTCTCTAGTAATTCCCTCTGACGTTTCGGGAAAAGCTCTGTTTACAAAATACGACAGGAGCGAGAGAGAGAGAGATGGATGGAGCAGAGAGGAAGGGGAAAAATCTAATGAAACATAGATTAGCATCTTCAAGACCCATGGGGCATTTATGGCCTACTTTTCCTATTCTTCTTGTCTTTTTGGTGAAGAAGTAAACGACGTCCCTCCCTCCCCTTTTCCTCGCCCCCTCTCTCCTTCGTTTTATCTCTACAGTTGGTGGGCTCTTCGATCTCCAAAAGCTGGGATGTGGAGGGGAGGATTAGAGTTTGAAGTGTTTACCTCCTCACGTGCATCAGTGTTCATGGACCTTGCGGCTAAAATGTTTTCGTACAGCAACTTTGCATAAGAACTTGAATTAAAGGGCCTTGTTGAGATTTTATGACATAAACTAGGTAAATAACTATAAAACATAATCAAAATCTTGTATGGTTAGTTTTGTTTTCAAATATAGATCTGAAATATGTGGCATGCATGTGGATTTAGTCGATAATGTGTAAAAAGCACCTTTCACTTCAACTGCAGTTGAAGGATTTTAGGGTTATGTCTCCCATGCTCCCCAAACAGAGCATCAGTTTTAAATTACCTGAAATTTCTCCACTGGATTTAGGTCTGGACTTTGACTATATCATTTTAATGCATGATGGAGGCAATTTTAGTCTTTAAGAGTGCTGCAGAGTTTTCACCTTTCAAATTTCTAGTTGCAAAAAAAAAAAAAAAAAAAAAAAAAATCATGTTTATTTCCTTCTACTTCACAATTATGCTCTACTTTTGTTGGCTTATCACACAAAATACCAATAAAGTTGAACAAAATAAAAAGGTTCGTGGTTGTAACATGAAAAAAATATGAATACTTTGCAAAGATATGCCAACCGGAGTGAGCGATGATGGATGTGTTGATGGTTTCCATGTTCCGTTCTATATTTAAAATTCCATTTTGGCAAGCTGCAGCATTATGCGACGTACCTGTGCACTCTTTCAGAGGGGAGCTCGCACTCATGTGGAGATTGTCTATCCAGATGTGTCCTCTGGTACTGTGATGAAAGAAACCCTCGATCACAACCTGGCAGCCAGAAAAGAGACGGAGAAGCGGAAGAATGCGTGAGACAGAAGACAAGATGAAGGCAAGGCGGAGCAGGGGGCGGAGGCAAGTGAGAATGGGGACAAACAGGAGGAGGGAGGATAAAAAGTTAATGTGAACCTGGTTGCACTCAGCACTTGCAGTAATGGTTTAGTTTACTGCAAGCTACTTATGCTTACTTTTTTATGAGAACATCAACTTCTTGTGATGTCTCTGACAAATGCATGAGAACAAACAAACAAGCTGCCGGCAGAGAAAATAGTTTTCTCTGTGTACTTTTTGAAGTTAAACCTGACTCCAAAAGAATGAATCTGACTCTGTGTTTTTATTTATGTATTTTTTCATTAATCTATAAATGCAGCCATTTCCTACCTGGAATTCTTTCGGGGAGCGCGGCACGATGGTCCGGCCTTCTTTCCAGACCATGGTGTGGTTGTCGCGGAGCGACCACAGGAGGACCTCGTCATTAAGGTCGTCCCGCAGAAACACATTCAGGTTGCCCTGGGAATCCCCCCACATCTGGTAGGAGAACAGGAGGCAGAGGGGTCCGGCGTTGGCCGGCACCACGGGGCTCACGAGGCGAGCGCGCTGCTCCAGGTTCTTCAGGCTCACGTCCAGGTACAGGTAATTGTTCAATGCTGGAATGGTAGAAAGTTAAGGTTTACAGCAAATGTATTCACACCCCTTAAACGAGAGCTGGGGGACAAATTAATTTTGTTGATTGATTGAATCTTTGGCTAGTAAAGATTTATTTTTGGGAAAATCCAGATTTTTTTTTTTCCCACCAATGCATTCTACAACAAAATATAAAGGTCAGTCTAAGTTTAAATGTTTTCTTTTTTATTTTTACAAGACTAACCAATAAAATTCAAATAATATGTGAATACAGTCTTAATATACCAGAACAAAGCTGTAATATTAAGAGAATGAATTAATAGTTTTATGAGAACTCCAACCAAAAAAAAGGCAAATTAATTATTCAAGCTTTTTTTCCATTAAAAAACATTTTTTTCGTAATTTTAAGGCGTTCTTCTGTTAAAATTGCATCTTTACTGCACTACTGTGCAACTCACAGAAAGGACGACTGAAATAAAAATCACTCTGTCAAAAGAAAGTGATAAACAAAAAATAATTATAATCGGATGTGGCATGAAAAATGTTATTTTTAAACCTTATCGCCCAGCCCGGTTTGTTTCCTTTTGCAAGAAGCTGTTTAAGTATTTTAACTCTAATCTGATTGGCTGTATGGTTTATGCCAGCATTGTGTGAGGCTGGAGTGTTAATTTCCAACCTGACCCTTGAAAAAAAAAAAAAAAACCCCGGAGCTAATCACTGATTGCTAACAGGAACGGGATCCCTGCTGCACAATGGTCGCACAGAACAATGGGGATATGACAAATATAAACACACCGAAGAATAGGTCCTAACAAGAGGGCCATTCACATGTGAAGTATCACGGCCCATTCCTCTTCATTCCCCTCTCAGGTAACTTCTTTAGCGACTAAGAAAAAAAAAAAAAAAAGAAGCGTCTCGACAAAAAGCACGGCACTCCATTTGTTTACACCAGAGGATGTTTAGTTTGCAAATTCGACGCCGGCACGAACTGCATTGTGAAAGACAAGCGAGCCGACTGTATGAGAAAGAGATTGAGTGCGAATGCGAGTGTGAGGGAACGAGAGAGAGAGAGAGTGACTCTGTGAAGAATTTCCTAAGTGGGCCCGGTGGGAAAATGTCCAGCATCAACAATCTGCACATTAAATCACCTGCTTCGTCACAAACAAACTGTGTATATGCTGCAGGAGTCCTTCAGGGCCAGAAAAAGAATCACGAGCATAACAGCAGATTATAGGATCTGCCTGAATGTGTTAGTTTCCACTGCTTGCTGCACAGCAGAGACTAATAGCCTGTATTATTCAGCTCAGGTTGGAGAGCGACTCCGCCGATTCGGACTGGACCTTTTCCTGAGTGGCTGTGTGGGTTTTCCGTCGGATCACACAAGCTGTATCTGGGGGGAACAAATCTGTCTTGAATCTGACAGCCCCACAACCCCCCATTTTGCCCGCCATACGGTCAGAGTCGCCTGTCTGTGACACTTTCCACACTGTGACTGTGACAGTATCTCCCATGGCCCATCGCGACTCAGGAATGATTGTGTGTGAGTGCAGTCTTTGCTGAATTTGAAGAATATTTAGTGCTCTACAAAGGATTTGAAACCTCTTACATCAGCTCCCCCCCAAAAACCACCACATTGTTGCAACTCCTTCTAGCATTAGAGCATTATTAATCTGAAGTTTTTTTTACAAAAATTAACACTTTTTTTTCTTTACACTTGTTATTTTTGGTGACAGTGAAATGATAGCTAGTCCTAAACATTTTTTTTTGAACAAATACAACCTAAAAACTTTAGCATGCATTTGTATTTAATCCACTTTACTCTGAAATCCACTGTAAACAGATGACTTTAGTCTGAAAATTTGTTGGATTTCATTTATTTAACCAACTTATCCACTGTTGTCACAGTGACCCGCTGCTATCCTGCTGCTTTTCCAGACCTGGGGGAAAGTGGTGTGCTAATCAGACCTAGAAACCACCGAGCATTAATAATCTATTTCACTATTTTTCTGCTGCCACAGGAGGCAAACGACGAGTGATTTTGTGGAGCCTCGTTGTCACATTTTCATCAGCAAAGCATCTAAAGCCAAAAATAATCTTATAAATCCATGGCGGCTAATTCTGGCTTTATTACTGGTTTCACGTCTGAGGTCAAGAGGTGACAAGTTTGTGGCTTCTGGGTCACGAGGGAAAAACGAGCCCTGCAGAGGATTAAACAGTGATTTGATAGTGGTGAAATAACGATCCTGTTCTGGCTGAGATTTCTGACCTTTGACATTAGGGGGAAAATCAAAGGCGTGTCAGAATGGCTGGAAATGATACTTCAAACATAAGAGGCGCAACCTGGCTTAATCTATGCAGCCCTTCGCGATCTGGCTGTGATGAAAGAAGCCGCTTTGAAGCCCTCTGCTGAAGCCAAACAGATCCCGCTTCAGGAGCGGCGGGATTAGGCGCGGGATTGTTACTGGTATCGAGGTGCATCGGGTTTTTAAAAGGTTAATATTTCAAAAATACTGCAGCTTAAAGTCTGTTCAGCAAGTGAATTGCGAAAGGTTTTAAATTAAAGAATTTTAGGAGCTTGTAAAGGCTACTAAGATTATAAAAAGATAGTTAATATTGACATTTATGCATTTGTGTACCTACCTTCAATTCCTTCAAACACAGTACAAATTATACAGTCAAAATTTATAATAGCTGCTGGAAGGGCTGTTTTTCCCAGCAAGCCAAAGCTTGGTCAATACTGTATACCCTTTTTCCAACCCAAAGGAACTGGAAGTCAAAACCCAACAATAGTTTGGTTTGATAGCAACTTTTGGGAAGAGAATACTTTCAGGGGTTTTGCAGGAATGTTCAAAGGATCATTTTAATTTCATTTCAACAAGGTTGTTTCCTACGTGGCTTCGTCAGAGTTTAATAATGTCCAAATTCCTCTACAACTCATGGAATGGATGGCCGTTGCTAGCAAATTTCTAAAAGACAAACAATCAAAAACCAAAATAAAGGACGTGGGAGACTCAAACATAGAAATTTAAACAGCTAATAAACGTAAAATAAGACCTGTGCATATTTAAGATTTTAAATATCTAAGCAATCAAATGCAAGGTCAAAATAGTTATTCAGCTGTGGTGAGGTGCTTCAGAAGGTAAAAAACAAAAACAAACAGCTGGTGCCGTATCGTTCCCGATCCCAGAGGGAATCTTCTTCCGAAGCTTTGAATATCACGGCATAACCCAGACATTTGATCGTTGCTTATGCATAAGGAAGAATGTCACTTCTGCACGGAATGACGAAATGGATGCAGCTCTCCACAGCGTCATGAAAGGTGGGGCTAACGTAACAGTTGGGAATGATTGCTCTTCTTTGGACCTTAATTGCAGCTACTGGGTCCTAACCTCTTAATGTGGAGCTTTTTTGACACCATAAGCCTGTTTGTCACATACGAGGACGTATATACATGCCCGACACATCCGCGGCGTCTGTTTCCCTCTGATTCCCCCGCTTCATTTTCATTTCAGCACCCTTGGCGAGCAGCACGGCTGGCAGACAATGCTGCCGCTAAATTAGGCTGGTTTCAATTTAAGAAAATTATTTTCATCAAATTGAAAAAGCAACTCAATGAAGACGCGGTGGGAGAATGACTCCATTTAATTGTGGGAAACGGCACCTTATCTGGACCCGCGGAAGTTGATAAACTTTAATGCATTTGTGCTTGTGCTATTTTCTCCACAGAAATAAAATCCTCCCTGCAGCTGCATGCATAAAGGCTCTCAGCTGATGTAGAAAATCATCAAACACTGAAATGCATTTAAGGGATGCCATGTTTTCTAAATTCGTTCAGCCCTCGAGTCTCTGCAGGCGAAATCTGAGTCATTTAGCTAACCAGTCAGAGAGTCCAGAGGGGGTGAATTACAAGATGGAACATAAAACAGTGGGTGTTATGCTGATTTTTTTTTTATAAACTATGCATTCAGTTAGACAGCTTAATAAATGTGGAGGGCGAAATAACACTAACTGTAGCCATTTAAACTATAACTGGCAATAAGAAAGGAGAAAGCCTTTAAATAGATAAGAACAAATTCCTTAATTGCACCAATATTAGGGTTGTCACTATCAGTACAACCGATATCACGGGTGACATAATGACAGTTTTAATTGTCGTAATGCTTCACAGATGATATAAATATTACATTTCATGGGTGCTACAAACAAATGTAAGTAAGACAGTTTATTTTGTGGATATCTGCTTTAAAGCTTAGTAAGTTCAAGGGGCTTCTGTTCTTTCTAATTATATGGTGGATGGCATTTTTTCTTACCATCCAGCTGGATGGTATTATTACAAAAATAGTCAAGTAAATTAGCACTTAGAGTTGATCTGAAATAATGTATTTAGGGGAATGTAAGCGCATTAAATGTTGTCAAAGACGGCAAAAGCGCTGAACGACAGATTAGATCCGCCGCTGGCGCATTTTGGTTTTCCACTCTTTTCCATATAAAGTGCTGTCAGACTCTCTTATAATTTCGCTCTAAACACGTTGCCCTCATTCATCCACAAAATTGTACCCTGTTGTTAACGTGGGGAGCCACTCACATTGTTTGCGCCTCGACCAGAGCAGTGAGGCGCCGGGGTCCTGTGTCCATCCGCACAGGTCGTGGTCAAAGTCACACATGCCAAGAGAGGAAGGAGGCGTGGCTGCTGTTGAAACAGTGAGTAGAGAAGAAAAAAAAGGTAAGAACAGAGTAGGGTGGAATGTGAAATGACCTTTGTTACCATTGAATCAAGCCTCCTTAAACGACGGCTGGTCCGAGGTGGGGTGCTTTTTACCTGTAGTCGTGTTGAGGACTGTGGTGGTTTCCGGGGTAGGAGTCGTGGTCGTAGTTGTGGTCGTAGTTGGAGTGCTGATTTCTGCAGAAAAACACGAACCGTAAACTCAGGTCAGGACGGTTAGGTACAGAAATGATGTAAACATTTTTCTAATCTGAAGAGTCAGAACTCAGACCTGGAAAACCCTGTGGTCACTGATCATGCTAACTACTAACAGCAGTACAACACAGTAACAATTCTACCACCATCAGCTCATGGTGACACAAAGGCCAATTTATCGCACGAACTCTTCAGAATGGTAAAGATACGAGAACATACAAGATGAATGTTGATGCTCAGAAGTTTGGAATTTGCAACAGGAAAACAGACAGTCACCAAAACGTGCCCATGTTTACAGTCAGAGCAGCAACCAAACAGTTTAAAACACTGTTTCAGTTTAAAGTGCCGTAAATATCTGCTTTAAAGCAGCTCTAAACAGCAATTTTAGCAAATGCTTTAACTAAGAGCCTAAACTGAAAACTGCTCACGCTTTTGTCTCCTGCCAGAGGCATGAAAGGACAGAAAGCCCCTCAAACACCCAAGAGGGCCCCTGTCATGTTTTGTCTACGAGCTTAGATGTCGGTATCTGTCTAAGACGCATACTGGCCAAAAAGCGTATGCACACGCAGACACACATGTCTGACACTAAAGCTGATGGATGGATGTGTCTAACTAACTCCCCTCGACCTTGGATGGGATGATCACACTCTGAGACCAATCTCTGGCTGTCAGCATGGCTCCAGCACACACATATATAAACAGATGCCTTCAGATGTGTGTGTGTGTGTGTGTGTGTGTGTGTGTGTATGTGTGTGTGTTTGTGAGCTAGTCTTTTATTTTCATAACTTCTATGCATTTGGACAAAAACCTCCGGGAGGAACAGAGAAATGTAAAGCTCCTGTCACGCCGTTTCCTGCCTTACCACCTATGCTGGCATATTGAAAAACATGTGGGTCTAGGAAATGAAGACGGACATCATGTCCTGTCACGCTTTTGAAGTAAGTGTGATGCTTCTTTCATGCAGTTTTTACTGTTACATCTGTAACAGTAAAAATGTGTAATATGGGGACCGTATTCTTGATGCCTCATGCTCACGCATGTGTTGCTTTCTGTTTGTTCGTGTTATGAATAGTGAGTGTATATTGGGATCAGAGGTGTGGATTTCAGTGTTTTTCTGCTTCGGGAAAGCGTATGTTGTTCTCACTATGAGGTCACAGTTTCATTTTTATTTTATTTTTTACTTAATACTTTTAATATCTTAAATGTTTCAGACGAAGATAACTTGATCAGGAGAAGTTATTTCATTCCTTTAGGAAAAATGGCCACCTACCGATAAACCTAGGTGCTTCTATTGTTGTGGAATGATTTGGGTTTACTCTTTTTTTGCAGTTGTTTGTCATTTTCTCCTCTAATAGTGTCTTTTAGTGGAATCATGAAGATGGCCTTTAATCGAACTGAGTTCTGCAGCGATGAAATGATGTCCTAGACGATTCATTGATGCACTTTTGAAGAACTCGTAGTTGGCTGAAGATTCTCCATTGTTCCATGATTTCTCAGTTTGTGAATAATGACTCAGTGATTTTCTGAAGCCCTTAAAGCTTATAAATGTCAATAACTTTGCTTTCCAACTTTTCTTAAATTTAATTTGTTGCTTTTTGGGAACTGTCAGCCTCCTTGTTGCTAGGCAAGTTGCTTTAAAGTAATTCCTTGCAACAATGACAGAATTCGCAATTGAACAAACAAACTCTTTAAATCACAGACAATTCATTTTCTTACATAGGGCCAGGTTGGTTCAGATGTTTTGTTTTTTCCTGAATGAATGAAATTGAAAACAGTTTGTTTTTTTGTTTTTTTGGCTAAGGTTATTTTTATCTGATACTGAACGTACTTAGAAGATCAGAATCAATTAAGTGTGACAACAAAAGTAAAAACAGAAGAAATTGTTTTTCACTGCACTGTACCTGGTGTTAAAGACATTTTAAAGCATTGTCAGATAATTATTTTCCAATGGCATCCAGTCAAAAAAAACATATTTGATTTTTAGCCGTCGAGTCATAAAAAAGGCACAGTTTGAGCATAAAAAAATAAATAAATAAAAAACTGAGATATGTACGCAAACACACATGTGGAGCAGGCTGCAGCTGGAATGTGAAGTGGGGAGTGTTATTAGGAGCAGATGGGTCAACCTTGGTGCCATTACACAGAAGTTTGGGTCAGGCCTCAAACAAAGCTTCACATTTATCATGTGAGCAAACTGTGTAAGCGCTTTTCTCCTCCAATATCTGCAGCACGAAACGATTACAAACATATTCACACTGTTTTCAAGCATCGCTTTCGCAAAAGCAGAAACATCTTTCGACTACACTGTCAAAGCGGATTCTTCAGCATATCACATTTCATACTCCTTTGTCGGCTTTCCCCGGCTTTGTCTCACTTAAGACGGCTCAAGCAACTCCGAGGCGTGGACGCACAAGGAGCTCACGCGAGACGCTTCCAAAGGGAAAACCGGCGCACGGAACGACGTGAAGCGGAGTCGCGAAAATTTACCGCTCCGAACGCCCGTTAGTGCCGCTACTCCAGGGTCCTGCTGGGAATTTTTCATCTCTCCTTAACGACTGCCGTTTAAAGGCTGCGGAAAGCAAACACAATGTGATAGACAACCGATTGGCTTGGAAAACGAGTGGAACGCCGCCCCAGCTGGAGAAATGGCACACATGAAAGGGGTCGGCCACAGCTGGCGACGGCTTCTGACATTAACCCAGCGCTAATGTCATGTCCTTTATGCCAGTCATTTTCCACCTAATGAGACGCTTATCACTGCCGGGAAGGTAAAGGCAAGGAAAAGCAGCTCCTCTTCCCAACAAGCATCTCTCCGTTGCCTGTGTGCCTTTTTATTCCACTTTGACCTTTGAGTTCAATCTCAGGACAAGGTGTTAAAATAAACCAAGAGCCAACACCTGTGTCACCTGTGTGCACAGCCAAATGCAAACACACACACACACGGACGCACACACACTCTTGGTTGAGTCCATTAAGATTCCCAAGAACTTGGTGCTTTCAAAGGTCAGGCCCTGTCACGGTGTAAATGGGCTGACCTTTCCGGGGTGTGACAGCAGCGTCCAGGCCAATGCGACTGACTTGTGCATTCGTGCGCACGGAGAAAGACAAGAATGTGCGATAACGTATGCGACCTGCCTCCCTCGCCTCGAGCACTGTGCTCAATGTGTCCGAGTGTGCCGCGGTGGAGAGGCCTAATAATGCGGGAAAAGTCCCTCTGCGGCAGAGCGCCGGCTGACATAACGCGTCTGCAGCTGCAGGTGGTGATGCAAGTCGTCATCATGCTGCAGGACGAGGCTCCGAACTCTTGGGAGCAGCTGACACAGATAGCGCAAAGTCATGCAAGCATGCATGCCAAGATTTCAAGATTTCTCTCCGCTTTTACACCTAAACCTTTTCTTTCTGTCTCAATCACAGGGAGGCGGCGCGGTCCAGCAATGAAAGACATAGCTCACTCCCAAAGAATCTGACTCAGCAATATGTCAGAGACAGGAGGAAGGTAGGGGGGGTGAAAAAATCCTCAATTATGTAGAAAGCCTTTCTGTAAATCTCTCCCTGGCACTCCCAGGCGCAGTCACACGCTGATAAATGGACACACATTCCTGTCCCAGAGGAACGAAATGGGAAAAAGAAGTAGGGGTGAGCCTTAGTGGATTATCCCTGCACGTTTTAGTACAGTGCATTCTTGTGTTTCTGTCACTTCAGAAGTACATCCTACGACTAAACCACTGCTTACTCTAAACCAGTCATTCTCAAAAGGTTAAGTCCCTCGTTTTGAGAAAGAAAAATACTTTCTCTGTCTGGCAGGAAGTGAAAAGGGTCAGGTTAACTTTTAGTAACTGAAAATAGAATCAATATTCTCTCAAATGAAACATGTCTATTTGATGTAAACAAGGAATGAAATCAGTTTTTAAGTAACTTTTTCCTTCAGGCTTTGGTTTTTAGTGCTTTGCTAAAAGAAACAAAAAATACCCCATCTTTCTGTACTTATTTCGACAAAAAACGTCTTGTTCCCTGCTTCTCATTGGTCAGCAGGTCAAAATGGAGCATACTGACCACATCTTCCTCCTGGCGTGACATCTCGTCGCCATGGAAATCCTGATTCGCTGATTATGTTGCATGGAATCCAAATCTTTTCCTGCTTGCTTTTTTACTCCATATAGCTCCACCAAATAGACATGAAGCCTTATTTTCCTCTTTTCTTAAAAGCTTTAGGGTTTCCTCGAGTGTCTTTAAGTCTCTCTTCTGATGTCATGAAGTAAATCTGTTGTTTCATTCTCTGAAGTAACATGGAGACAAAGAGGCAGACCTGAATCTTATGCTTTTAGTTTTATTGCGTTTTCTGAAATGTTTTGGGCCTCATCACATAAATACTAATTAAAGGAAACTTTCCTAGCTCCTTGGGCTTTGCTGTATTTACTGGGATCTTAACAACAAACAGAAGCACGAATCGAGGCACCGGAGGTTTAAATTATAGGTGTGTACATGAGCGTGTGAGGTCTCCGATTCTGGATAAAGCATCGAGATTAGCCACCTACATTCTTTACAGATCCGCACGGATTCCACTCCTGAAGGTATAAATATTTAATTCAAGGAGTATGCAAACAACTAAAAAAAAAAAAAAAAACTACTGGTATTGTAGAAACACTGTGTATGAGGCAGCAGTGCAGGAATATGGTAAAAAAAAAAAAAAGGTGCGCGCGATGATGAGCAACAGGAGAATGAGGCGAAGGAGAGGGAAACAGGCGAGGCATGGAAACCAAAAGAGAGCAAAAACATTTACAGACCCACGCACCGGGCCCCAGGCTGGGAAAGGAAAGAACTGAAACCATGTGCAGAGACGAGGGAGAGGCAGCTCATCCTGCCTGACTGGTGGTAGCTGCTGATATTCTAAAACATGCATGGGGGGAGAAATATGTTTGTTTCATCAGCCTGAACCATATAAATAAGTAGAGTGAAGACATCACTGAGCGGTCTGAACTGAATGATTCACAGGATGTCAGCAGCGGCCCGTTATCCCAGCTGAGTTGGTCGGCGGCGGTGGTGTGTGAACAATGTGCGACTGTTTGCAAAGTTTCTGCGTGCCACATTTTGCCAAAAGCCTCTCTCGTGAATTTAAACTTCTGTATCAAAGAGTTCATTTCATTTCGCCTCCATCTTTCTGGTTCCTGTTTGTTGGTTTAATCCGCTCCGGCCCGGTGTTTGCTTCACTCGTCAGTCAGCGGTTAATGTAAAACATATTGTGTCCTGTGTTTCGCAAGACTTCAGGAGCTGGATGGAGGTACTGTGCCTTGCAGGATTCACCGCAGTCACAACCATAAACCTTAATGTAGTTTATTAGGGTTTTATGAGATGAACCGACACAAAGTAGCGCATAATTGTAAATTAGAGAAAGGATCAGACATGGGTGGACAATCCACTGTCTATTTTCTATTTTTTCCACTGAAGAGCATTAAAATAGATCGGTCATGTGAGACTGTGCAGTTTTTTTCTTTTTACATACGTTGCTGCCATGTTGCAGAGTTCAGCACAACAAACCTTATTAATTTCCCCAAACACAAACAAAGTAGGTCACACGTCGAAACGTTCAATTTCGGCCACATCTAACCAGAGCACGTACTTTCACACGTCTGCTACGGCCTGTTACATAAAATACAGATAAAACACATAGATGATAGTGACAACGTGTGAAAACATTCAAGCCACAGGAGAATTAGCGCAGAAGTTCTTGGAGGAAACTAATCAGGCATCTTTGCGTGGTGATAAATCTTCGCTGCCCAAACAGATAAAGGAAATGGAAAGCTACAAACAGACCTAATGATGAAAAGCACCTTCAATTCCAATCAACACATATGGACCCGGTTCTTGTTCGGTGGGTTGTTTGGTAAACATGTGTCCAGCCCTGTGCGTGTCGAGCTACACGGCCGCCCTGTTCAGGCGCAGCAGAGGGAGTGGTAAACAGTAACAGACCGTGTGTGTGTGTGTGTGTGTGTGTGTGTGTCAGTGAGAGTGTGTTTGTCTCTGATGGAGCACAAAGATCACATCTGGCCAACAGACCATGCTGGAAAGTGAACAAACCGGCGCTCTCACTTGCTGGAGAAGCATTCCTGTAAACCAAACCTTGTACAGATCCCTGCTGAGTAATGCACTTGGAGAGGAACTCAACTCTCCTTCAGGTGAAATGATTAAAAAAAAAAAAAAAAAAAAAAATCAGAATACTGCCTCTCCTCACCTCAGGCAGCCTCTAATGACTCTCATGCATATCTAATGTGAGCCACCTTCCTCAAGGTCCATTCAGTCCTGCCTGGATCATTTCAATTCAGCAAATAATTTGCGACTGAATCCTGTAGGCAGGATATGATGGGGGTGGGAGGAGGGGGGAAATAAAAGCAGAAAGACATCCTACCTGGAAGGTCGCATCCAAGGATCTCCACTCTCATCCCGATCCCTCCCGGGGACCACCTCTCTGGATACAGCCTGATGTACTGCGCCACCGTCTCCTCAAAATGACGCAGCTCCGGAGTGTCGTACTGCGTGTTCCCCTCAAATAACTGCACAAAACATCATCGCTGAGCTCACATGCAAATGGGTACCTCAGAGGATGATCTTTCATTAGCTTCACCCACCTTCGGCTGGCTGGTCTTTACATCCATGATGAAGTTCCAGTCTTTTCCGTTCAGGCTGTGTGCGACTTTGTACTTCCTGACAAATGCACGGTTGTCTGTGGCAGGTCCACTTCCCGGGTCTCCTCCCCGCGCTCCCTGGGTAATGACGCCACGGACGGTCTTGGGAACACCGAGGTCCACCTGGATGAATGAGAATGAATGTACAATCGAACTCTCATGTGGACAAAATAAATTGTGGCAAATGTATAATCAAGGGTTGTTTTTAAAAGTCCATCAGTCCAAGTGCACAGTAACTAGGACCCTGACATATAAGCTCATACCTGGAGCCACTCCTCTCCAGCCAGAGGCTGCGCAGGCGCGGGGAACCAGCCCGAGCGACTTGCCACAAGCCGAGCCGTGCTGGGATTCCACATCATGTCCCTGCTGGACGACACCGAGATCTGGGCGTCAGGGAGCAGGCCGGACATCAAGCCCTGCAGGTCCGAGCACGGAGCGCCTGGAGCAGGAGGCAGAAGGAGGCAAGAGAGGAGTTAAAGCGCCGCTACGCATATTCCCACCAGGGAGCCGTTAAAGATTGCACTCCTGACAGCTGAGCTTTACGATTTCAAATTGGAGGAAATAGGAGAAGCAGAGGTTCTGGCTGGACTCTGAGCGTGCAGTTAGACTCCCATTAGTGAGATATAGGCTCGTATGAACTCCGCCGCTGCTTTGCATTCATGCAATTCACGTCTCACACTGATATTTAAGCATCTTTTAATGTCATTCACTGCGACGTTTCTGTCACTATACCGGAAATGAGACTCATAGCTGTGCAAGTGACTGGCATGGGGGAATATACGTGAGGAGGAAATGAAGGATTAGGCGAAGGTAAAGGTATAATTCACAGAGATAGGAGGAAGAGATGGGGAGGCAGGGGGGAAGCACAAGTGACTAGGAGGAAATGTAGAGATGAGACATCTGCAGAGAAAAACAGGAGGAAAGCGGTGGCACCGGATCGGCATGGAGAAGAGGAACAAAGACGCAGAGAGAAAGAGGGAACTGGTGGGAGGATGGGAGCACGGGGGAGATGTTAGTTGTGCTGACGGTTTAAGGGAACACAAATCAAACTTTCATGCTGTTATGTCACTGCAAACGCAGAGCCACGTAAATAATGGATAAATCGCCCAGGACGAGCTGATATACGTGTGCACGCTCCTGAACGGCGCACCTTCCTTTGAGGTCGCCGCCCTACATTTAGAAGCCGCCTCTATGTGGCAGGTTGCACCGATGCTGTAGGAGCTAATAGCTGTTTCAATAGCAGCTGTTGAGGCTGAACTGAATCACGGTTTCTGATGTAAGAGCGAACAGAGAGCCATGAATGATTGAGCAGTACTCAATCTGATACGGAGGAGCTCGCGGAGCACAGAGGAAGCTTCAAAAAGAGTTTGGAAACCATGGGAGATTTTCCTTAAAGAGGGAGGGGAGGCTGGAGACAGAACGCGAGCATGGAGAAGAAGTGGAGGGGCATCGGAAGATTAAAGCGACACATGGTGGTACCTCCTGATGGAACAACAGAGAGCGCGTTCTTTCATTAGCCTAAGGCACGGTGTACTCAAAAGACGGCACTGGGAATATGCATGAGTCTAAATGTACACGTTAGATCCTATTTCTTTTTTAACTCTTTTTGAATAAACTTTGCATGATGTACCAGACGGTTGTTCTTACTGGAGTAGCATTAAGCAGTGGGAGGCAGAAAAAAGTTTGAATATCAGGTTTTTTCACAAAATTACTGAAATAGGGCTATTATTATTACTACCATGTCATTAGAAATGATCACTACAATATACAGTTTGCAACTCTTCATCATGAAAACACATAGTAATGCCATTTAGCAATGTGATAGAACATAGTCTTGTGAAGGAAGATCTGTCAGGAAGTTAACCTGTGATCTGGCATCCATGGAGCTCAAATCTTAGTGCAATTCCATTCTTCCAAGTCTGAGGTCGGATCCGGACGAAGCGGGCCAAAACCGGCTGCGGGACGCGGTTCAGGACCACCTCGGCCGGGTCTGTGTTGGCGTGGAAGATCTGTGGAAAAAGAAAAAAAAAAGAGCAAGGACAAAACACGGCGTCAGAGGGGAGACGGCAGACACACACATGCACATCTCTTGCTTCGACACCCTCCCACTGAGCGCAGTTTCGCTCGGCTTCACACACACAGTGGCAGGCCGGACAAAGCGGAGACAACCCAAACACGGATCCGGTGTCAGCATCCCAGCTGTCGATGTGTTCCCAGGTCAGGGGTTCAGAGCCGGGAGGCTGGGAAAGCCCACTTGATATATATATATATATATATATATATATATATATTTTTTTTTTTTTTTTTTTTCCCCCCACCCCCCCCTCTTTTTTCTCCCCCCCCCTTCACCACCGATCCGGACCCCA